AACTATAAACAACTATTTGTTCTCTTTAGTAGGTTATGGAAAAAATAAGGTAATTCTTATGCTATAATAAAAATAAATAGATTTTTAGAAAATCACCAGGCGACCCCCCCTTTATTGTCCCATGACCCCTCGGGGGGTCCCGACCCCCACTTTGAGAACCACTGATTTACAGTACAGTGCAAAAGTCTTAGATTTGTTATTTTTGTAATGTTCTAATGACCATACCTATAAATACAACTCGGTCTCAACCTGAACAGAAAAATAATTAGAGAGAAATATAAAAAAAGCCTGAGTACTAATATCAATATAATATGATTGCCTCATCGTGGTGGGCAAACAGAAAAAAATTATTTACAAATAAATACATAAAATATTCCTATACTGTAAGTCTAAAGATGTCACACTTCAAGTGTGCACTTACAAATTATAATAAAAACTGCTAATAACTACAGTACTTGTTTGATAAAATATAATTAAGATATGACAATTATAGTCTAAATGTACATCCACTCTACAGGCATGTTTTTGACTCATATGTGTAAGCATATGCAGATTGTGTGCTCATCCGGTCAGTCACACATCACTGCCCAGTGGTCTGTCAGCTTCACTCTTTATCTCACCTGGCCACATAACAAGCTGCCTGGCTTGATCGATACAGCAGATGTGCGGGACGCTGCCCTCCCTGCAGGACACGCTCATAGAGGCATGAAGTGTGAATCTTTCTTTATGCTATTACACAGATCACATCAGTATGCTGTGAAGAGCAGCGTACCACCCAGAGCCTGCCATTCAGTGCGATCTGTTGTGGAACAGGGCGGTAAAAATCGCTGTATTGAAAAAAATAAAATACTATTCAAAGACAAAGTGTGGAATTCACAAACTGGAAAACAGACTTTGGAGGAATGTACAAAGAAAAGTGATGCAGCGTTAAAAAATGACCTTTCAAAGGTTAGCAGATTTGTATTCTACTGGTGGAAGGGAACTCAAGTGCAATACTAATTTACTGTTGCTTTTGAAGGCAGGTTTTTGTTTTTCTATATACACATTTATATTTATGGATCAAAGATGAAAGAAGGGGTTTTCATGCACTAAAATGACAGAAGTGTAATGCAGCTTAAAATGCAATGTTTAGTGCTTATTTAAAAAATATTTTCATTACACCGAGCAACCATGAAACATTTACAACTTTATCTTAAAAGATGTTTAAAACACCAAATCAGGTCCTTTATACAAACATTTTTTTTTTTTATTTTTATTATATACATTTAGGGATGCATCGATTTTAGATTTTGGTTGCACGATTATAGTCTGAGGACAAATCACAGTTTCATGGATATCAAGATTGTTCTTCTGCATTAATTTATTTCAAACTACTAGTTTAGAAAATCACATGAAAACTTCTCATATTTTAAAGTGTTATTTATTGCTGCTCACTAACCAATTAATACAACACAAAATAAGAGTAAAAACAAACAATCGCCAATTTCTCTTTGGACTTAAAAACAAGTGAAAAAAGATTTGGCATTTAAACATAAGTAATACTTTTACACTGAAAATAAATGACAGAAAAATGTATAAATTAATAATTAAATAAAAATAGGAATAAATAGCAAAATAATATTTGTTTAATGTAAATCTAAGCATCGTATTAGCTAAGTAGTTCCTTTTTCAAAGTTAACAAATGCAGCTAAACCTCTGTCTGAAAGGCACTTTTCATTCATTCATTCATTTTCTTGACGGCTTAGTCCCTTTATTAATTCGGGGTCACCACAGAGGAATGAACTGGCAACTAATCCAGCGCATTTTTACGCAGTGGATGCCCTTCCAACCCCAACCCATCTCTGGGAAACATCCACACACACATTCACACATACACTACGGACAATTCAGCCTAAATTCACCTGTACCGCATGTCTCTGGACTGTGGGGGAAACCGGAGCACCCGGAGGAAACCCACGTGAACGCAGGGAGAACATCCAAACTCCACATAGAAACAACAAGTGAGCTAAGGATCGAATCAGCGACCCAGCGACCTTTTTGCTGTGAGGTAACAGCACTACCTACTACGCCACTGCGTCGCTGAAAGTGCGTCGCACTTTTGATCAACTATATTACAGATTTGTTTGGTATTTTCATCTTTTGATTTTTTTGTCTTTGGATTAGAAATATGTATATTCCAAACAAAGTATTAAGCATACTGGTCAGTTTTTGTTACATGACTCGTGGTGCGCTTGCGGCATTCTTTCAACTAGGTGTGCCTGGAAAGCTTCCAATAACCACGTGCAAGCTGTGCGCCTCCATTGGAAATAACAATCTTGCGCAAGCAAAAGAAGTGATATGTTAATGGCCCTTAGTTAATAGCCTCAGCCATAGTTAACCCAGTGTGTGTGTGTGTGTGTGTGTGTCTATTAGCCTCGATGTACAACCTTGGAACTTTAAACTAGCGCACAGTTGGCACAACTTTGTTTAGTTGCGTCAGTTTTATTTCATGCAGAAACACGGTGTTGAGTAGCATTTACGATTATTTAACCATGATAAATTAAAGAGCGGTAGGTAGTGAAATCGGTTAATCGTTGCATCCCTATATACATTATATAAATTTGTAAAGCAATACAAGAATTATGGTGTGTTTCATAGCAGAGGGTGACGCGGTGGCGCAGTGGGTAGCATGTTCGCCTCACAGCAAGAAGGTCGCTGATTCAAGTCTCGGCTGGGTCAGTTAGCATTTCTGTGTGGAGTTTGCCTGTTCTCCTTGTATTGGTGTCCTCCGGGTGCATCGGTTTCCCCCACAAGTCCCCCAAAGACAGGTGGTATAGGAGAATTATTTGCTAAAGTTGACCGTAGTGTATGAGTGTGTGAACGAGTGGGTTTTCCAGTGATGGGTTGTGGCCGGAAGGGCATCCGCTGCGTAAAACATATGCTGGATAAGTTGGCGGTTCATTCCTCTGTGGCGACCCCAGATTAATAAAGGGACTAAGCCGAAAAAAAAATAAATAAATGAATGAATAAAAACAGAACCCTAAAATGTATTTAAAATGATGAAACATCGCTGCTTCTTTCACACATGGTCATGACCAAAAGGGGCGGACTGTGACATTAAAAGCACTTGTGTGCTGCGTAATCATCAGCAAATTTATTCAGCAGTCTTGTTTCGCTTCAACAGCTTTCAACCTTACTCTGCTAGGTGGCATCATTATGGTAAGTTTTGAATGCTTTAGCTCACTTATGAACTGACATCTTCCATGCTTACAAACTCAGTCACAGCATCATCAAACTAAACCTTTGTTTATTGTGATTATGCATCCATGATCCCTTAAGTCTACTATTAGCTTTTCATAAAATGCAAACATTCACTCTGTCTCTTATGAATTATTGATGTAAGAATAAAATTCAAATGACAGAAAATTGACAATGATGATTGGTAGTTGCCATCCCTGAATATTTCTGTTTGTTTTTTTTATCTTATTTTAACCATCATAATCATTTTTTTGCAAAGATTGCGGTTTTAATCAACTCGCATTCTTCAAACATTAAAAGCATTTAGCTAGAACTATCCATACTGCACGAGCTCTATATGTACTCTGTGAACAGTAAACCTTGCATTCTTTGATCTGATTGGCCATTTCAATCATTACAATGACAAGTACTGTTCTGCTCTGAGCTAGAGCACACTCAATAGATTATAATGGTTTTGAATAAAGTGGGCCATGCTAGCCATTCGCTCTCGACAGAATAATACATGTAGGCCTGTTGCTGTTTTTTTTTTATACATTTAATCATCGGGAAAAGTAACTATGGAAGAAAAAATGTAAAAATATGTTTTATGCACTAGCAGCAATTAGATATCCTTCCCTGTTAAACATGTAAGGGATTAAGTACCTCCAAAGCTGTTAAGCAGAGGGTTTTAGAACACAAAACATTGTTCTTGGCCATAATAGATCATTAATTCTTAAATTAAAGGCAAATCTGACAAAAACAAAAATGGATGAATGGTGCATAAAATAAACAATGTATTATTTTGTCACAAATAGGCACAAAACTGTCAAAAACATGGATGTGAATGTGTTCATTGATGGTCAGGGTAATATATTTGAATGAGCCTGTGCTATTAGTTTTAGTGGTTGTTATCTCAGAATAACATTCATCGGAATGTTGTGTCTGACCATTCTGAATCAAGTATTCCAGACAGCCATTTAATAAATATGTCTGGGTCACCAAATACGTAATAAAATTGACTGTATATAATTATGAATATATACTGCATCTGCCATGGACATCTTCAGCCTCAGGCTTAAAGATTAGAGGAGCTCTAATCATGACACAAATGTGCATGTACGTACTGTATATGTATTCTAAGTATTTGTTTATTTATTCATTTTCAGAGGGTTATCTTGATTTAGTGGAGAGGTCATGTGTGTGCCCCATGGCATTTGCATCCAATTTGAATAAATCCTCTAAAATCACATCAAGGTGACAGCTGAAGCGAAATGTCATCTGAGGAACGCTTTGAACTTCTGTTATTCCAAATTATGCTTGTCTAAACTCATAATGGGCACTCGCTTTTGCATAGTCCAAAAGCTCACATAGGAATTCTGTGAAAACACCTTTACACCTGCTGCAAGTTCAGAAAGAAAAACACACAATAATGAGGTTGTGATCTACGCAATTTGCATCAGCATTCATTTTTGTTGTTGTTGCCATACAGGAAAGCGTCTATTATATGCAGTTAGTTTTGCCATGCCATATTTATACATTTTAGACTTAAATGGCAACTGTGCATTTATTAAAGTTTAAAGTACAATTTAAAACTTGATAGACCTAATATTAATAGGCTGATGCACATTATGATATATTTAATGGAAAAATGCTTTTTAATTTTCACAGAACATCCACCGTTTTTTTTTTTTAAACGCATTATTTTCACATAAATGTTGCTGAATTTTTGGTGAGGTGATTTTTCCTTTGCCCAAGGAGAGGCTTTTTAATATCTGGATTCCTACCGTCTACACAGGAGGGTTTGTTTCGTGTCGTGCCAGCCACTTTTCCTGGTAAACATGAACACTTGACCGTCTGGGAACGTTCCTCAATACGGTTCTTGTTGCAACATCGGTGTGCTGCGATCACCTCACATGTTCCTCCTTCTGTGGATACAGAAACACAAACACACATAAACATCAGTTGCACATATATGAGATACTATTTCATGTTTGACACGTAATAAAGATGCATGTTTATCTGCTCAGTCTGGTATATATCAGTGACATGCATCTGAGAAATACATATTTCAGAGATGTGCACCAGGGATACAAGCAAATCAGTGACAAATACACATTTATGAGGTCAACAGAGAAGGAAAACAAGATTGGACAGTCTGATGGGAAAGAGATTGTAGACAGCCTACAGATGATAAACAAACAGTAAGAAAGATTCCATTTGCTCACACAATATGACCAAATTTAAGGAGACTCTTCATGCATCTACTTATTGCATTTATACAACAGATCAACTTCACAAGTTTGGAAACAAATAAGAAACAATCACAGAGTAACATAAACAGAACCTCTGGTATTACACGATTTTATGGCTAAACATAACATTTGTCCTTACATATGTCTTTTATTGAAATATGTAGTAAAATATAATTTAAATTAGATTTATGTTATTTAAAAAAATGGACATTTATTTTAGATCATAGGGTAGTGCCAAATAAATGTTCTCAATGAGATACTTGTGCTGCCTGTTGCTTTACCACAGCACAACACATTCAATAAAATACTAACATGATGCCACATTGTGTGGTTTCACTTGATATTTAAGAGTGTGTGGACTATATAAAACACCAACAATGCAGCATTTAATTTAAGGAAACCACTTATACATTTCTACAGATCTTCCAGTAGCTGTGCCTTACTTACAGTTTTTCTCAGTCACTTTAGTGCATTTCTCACAACACTATTTACATTTGCACAACAGTTAATGAATTTATCTAAACAATTAGTACAAACTGCAAAACCTAGTGGATTACCTGCAAAAGCGTGTCACTTGCTCAAAATTTGCTCATTCCACAAAATCAAGTATTCATGTCAATGAAAGTGTCAGTGTCATCTGATGAAATGTCCAGACACCATTGTTTATGAACAAGATAGTAAAATGGCTTTGTCATCTTTTCATTATGATAGTTTACTCTGTAATTTTTTTTCAATGCAAAAAAGTCAGATTTTGGTTACACTTCTTGAAAATGCTCAAGACAGCTCTATACTATTTGCACAGCCATTTGAAAACTACAGTAAAGTTAGACATCGCAGTATTTAGTGAGGTGTCTGAGTACAAGACACTGATAATGTATGTTTCACATTTTGACTGCATATGCTCTTTGCTACTGTAAATTATTCCCAGCATTGCGCAAATTAATGAATACACCCTTATTTACAACAAACATAAACCCCCTTTGGGTAAAGCTGTGCACAACTGTAAAAAATGATGCAGTACATATTGGAACCGAACCTAAAACACACACTGTAAATCATTCATGAAATGTTCAATTTAGAAGACATTTTCAGGAATTAAAAAAATAAACAAATAAAAAAACTTTTTTTTAAATAAAATAGCTTGACAGATTTTGACAACTAGTTCAACATTTTTGTATGTAATGACTCAAGTAATGAAATGAGGACTATTGCTTTTATATGGAATGACTATTCAGCATTCACAAGTTTAGTTCATTTTGACTGACATGACATAAGCAAATGATAATGTTATAAAACAGCAGAGAGTTGTATGAAAGCAATTGATGCATGTCCAAAAGCATTTGCAATTTGTTGTAATGAATGAGAAACTGCTACTATGATGTGCACAAATGACTAATTGTTTTAAGAAATGCATTAACTGTTGTGCAAATGTAAATAGTGTAGTGAGAAATGCACCAAAGTGACTGAGAAAAACTACGAGGTCATGAGACATTGTCTTTATTTTTCAGTATTTGTATTCCTGTGTTGGATTAACAACAAACAGTAACAGGTATACTGTAAAAAAGGTTGGGTTCCACTTAATTCCTTCATGTTACCTTAACTGTTTTTACAGATGTAAACAGATTGATTATATGAAGTCCCCCCCCCCCCCACCCCCCAAGAATTAAAACTCAAGAATTAAGGTAATTCAGCTCATTTAAAATAGTTTGAACAAGCAGCAAAAATAATGTTTGAGTGTAGGGGTCCAATGGAGTAATATCATCGAAAATAATGGTGACTCTTATAATCCAAATTATGTATTAGATAATGTGGATTTTTTTCTTCCATGTTTATTTTTTTCTACATACATCTTGAAGACACATCATTTACATTTTATTTTGGGACTCAATACACAGTCTTAATATCCAAAGTTCCCTTTGAGAATCAAATTGTGCACTTAACCTCTCAGCCAATCAGATTTCAGAATCAGAACTTGTGTAATTATAGTGACTTATTTACTATTTCTACTGATATTTTGTTGAAAACATACAAGTTTCCATTTTTTTATGCTTTAATGTCCATTAGTCACAAATTATTAATAATATTCAGCTTCACTTAAGATCCCAAGGAAAAAAAATGATATTGACATGTAAGGGAGATCTTTTTTGAGATTTGAACATCACGAAATCAAGATGATTTTATGTACACCAAGGTTTGTTTCTCGCTCTCTCTCTCCCTCTTTCTCAATCTCTCTCTGTATTTTAAACATAAAACTAAGTGGGTAAAAAGGCAATAAAAACTTAAAAAAAGACCTGAAGCATCAGCTCCTTAATTAGATTAACTTCCGAAGTCATCAGTTAAAACAGCATTAGAGCAAATGGCCCTTGTAAAAAGCCTCTAAAGAGAAAATTATAGGCTCTTCCACAGACTCTTACTGCTAGGCTTTCCATGTAATTACCATGTATTCTTTCTTTTCTCTGTGCTGCAAATTACCCTTGAAGCATGTTGATTATCTTATCTAAATGACAAGCTTTTTACCCTGGTGTGACAGAGACAAGGGCTTTCATGAAGAGCACAGGAAGGTGAGGGTGCTGTCCTTGTTTAGTCTGAAAAAAACAATGTGGAGGCATACAGTAAGACTTTGATTATGACTGAATAGGTAAGACGTGTTCTTTATAAAGAACCTTGTGAAAGCTTATTTCTGCTACAGAATAAAAAAATAGGAAAAAAACTACAAAAAAAAAAAAAACTGTTCAGAATTGAGAGACAAACTATTATTTTCAATATACTATAATGAGTTTGCTACCATTTTTTGCTACCATTGTTACCATTTTTTACCTAGGCCTTAATTACTAGGTAATTTAACATTTAGTACAATGCACTAATAATGTACATACATGCTTTTACATTGAACTAATATTTTTAAAACTCTCTTCGAAGTTATATCTGTAAACTATTTCGGTAATTACATTTATAATTACACTCTTGACCCATCCCTCACCCTTACCCAATCTCAAACCTACCCATACCTGTCCCTAACCTTACCAGTAGCCCATTCAAGAGCACCAGCACCGTTGTGCAATACTGTATGAACACAATAAGCAGATTGCACTTATTTTCTGATGCAAGTAAAAATAAATTAAGGCTACTTAATATGAAGGGGGACTACTTCTAAGTTAGTTTTTTTAACTTTCAGTTGCGAGATGTTTGAGAATTTGCACAAAGTCAGAATTGACAGTTGAGCTTGAATTATGAGATGTAAACTCAGAATGAGGAAGAAAGGTGATCTTAATGAATATGGCATGGTTGTTGGTGCCAAATGGGCTAGTCTGAGTATTAAGAAACTGCTGATCTATTGGGATCTTCACGCACAACCATCTGTAGGGTTTACAGAAAATGGTCCAAAAAGAGAAAATATACAGTAAATGGCAGCGCAAATGCCTTGTTGATGCCAGAGGTCAGAGAAGAATGGCCAGACTGGTTCCAGCTGATAGAAAGGCAATGTAACTCAAAATAACCACTCGTTACAACCGAGGTATGCAGAAGAGCATCTCTGAATGCATAGCACCTTTAGGCAGATGGGCTACAGCAGCAGAAGACCACATCTGTCCGCTAAAAACAGGAAACTGAAGCTAAATCACACAGGCTCACCAAAATTGAACAATAGAATATTGGAAAAACATTGCCTGGTCTGATGAGTCTCAGTTTCTGCTGCGACATTCGGATGGTGGCGTCAACAACATGGCTCCATCCAGTATGGCTCCATCCTGCCTTTTATGACTGGTTCAGGCTGCTGATGGTGGTGTAAAGGTGTAGGGGATATTTTCTTGGCACAGTTACGGCCCATTAGAACCAAATTGAGCATCATGTCAATGCCACAGCCTATCTGAGTATTGTTGCTGACCATGTCCATCCTCTATTCTGATGGCTACTTCTAGCAGGAAAAGCGCATAACGTGGTCATAAGGATAACATGTCATAAGCGTGAATCATCTCAGACTGGTTCCTTGAACATGACAATGAGTTCACTGCACTCAAATGGCCTCCACAGTCACCAGAACTCAATCCAATAGAACACTTTTGGGATGTGTTGAAAGAAAACACTCACATCATGGATGTGCAGCAGATAAATCTGCAGTATGGTATCAAGCCAAAATTTAGAAAAAATATTTCCAGTACCTTGTTGAATCCATGACAAATAAGTCAGAATTGACAATTGTTAACTCAAAAACGCTAAATTTAAACAGAGAAAACATGAAAGAAAATGATCAGAACAGCAAGATGTTAACTCAGCATATACCAAAAAAAACAAAAAAAAAATCCAGGACCTGTATTTAAGAATACTCACAAATTTGTTACCTTTTTCATTTTTTTATTTCATTGCAGAAGCAAACTCCCATATCCTTGACACAGTGCAATAATGAAGTCTTCACAGTCATTAGCACACTCCTTGCCCTTCACACACATACCTCAACCATTTATCCAAAGCTACACTAAATACACTGTGGTAAAGTAGACCCCATTGTGACAAAAAAAAAAAAAAGAAAAAGAATAAAAGTTCAGAATGCGCAAAAAAGCCACTATAGCAGGTCACCATAACAATAGCACGCACCCCAAGGAGATCTGGGGGATTGATGAGAGGTAATGGTTTTCCCCTCAACCAGTGGCCCTCACAGCTCCACACCAACCTCAAGA